TGAAGAAGGTAGGGATGTTTCGAGGTTAGAGCCTGATGATGGCCTATTTGAGATCACAAGAAGCGCCCCCGACTTCAACAACGCACCTGATCCGCCTAATTCATATACCAGTCGCAAACGACGCACTCAGGTAGACGGAGAGAAGGTTGGGAAGTACAAGGATGTGCGCGGATTCCGATTGCATGCGGAACGAGGCTACACTTTCTGGAGGTTCAACATCGAAGTTGAGCTCCGGGATAAGCAGCAGAGGATCGCCTACCGCATCAACCATGGTCCGGCGACGGGTTTCTGGGTCCCCGCTCGGGACCAGTCGATGAATATCATGTTCCACAGTTGCAATGGGTTCAGTCTAAGTGTAACACCGGATGATCTTAGCGGACCGGATCCCATGTGGCGCGACGTCCTTAACAATCATCAGACAAGACCGTTCCACGTCATGATTGGAGGCGGAGACCAGATCTATAATGATGCTGTCATGCGGGATACTCATCTCTTCCAGAATTGGCTACAGATTAAGAACCCCTTGCATAAGAATAACGCCCCATTTACTCCGGAAATGCAGGATGAGATGGAACAATTTTACCTAAATAGGTACATGATGTGGTTTTCGCAAGGATTGTTCGGTCTGGCGAACTGCCAAATCCCAATGGTCAATATGTACGACGACCACGATATCATTGACGGCTTCGGCTCTTATCCTCACCATTTCATGAAGTCGCCCGTGTTTACCGGCCTCGGCAACGTCGCGTTCAAGTACTACATGCTCTTCCAGCACCAGAGTTTACCTGACGAGACGGAACAGTCGGAACCGAGCTGGGCTCTTGGAACCAGACCAGGGCCGTATATCCATGAGCTGAGCCGTAGCTTGTTCATGTCCCTGGGGAACAAGATCGCGCTCCTTGCTGTTGATTGCCGGACCGAGCGAACGAGAGACGAGGTTGTGCGGGAGGATACGTGGAAGAAGCTCATGGACCGCTGCTACGATGAGATGGTCAAGGGCGAGACGCAACACCTGCTCGTCCTCTTGGGGGTTCCTATTGCCTACCCCCGGTTGGTGTGGTTAGAGAACATGTGAGTACCACCCATTAATGCCCATATAATATGCTGTGTGCTGATATTTCTAGCTTGACTTCGCGGTTAATGGATCCCATCAAAGCCCTCGGAAAAGCGGGATTGTTAGGCAACTTACTCAACCGCTTCGATGGGGGTGTCGAAGTCCTCGATGACCTCGACGACCACTGGACAGCAAAGAACCACAAAGACGAGCGGAGGTTCGTCATCGAAGACCTCCAGGATCTCGCCGCGGACAAGTCCGTGCGCATCACAATCCTAAGCGGCGACGTCCACCTAGCCGCAGTCGGCCAGTTCTACTCGAACCCCAAGCAGAAACTAGCCAAGCACAAGGATTTCCGGTACATACCCAACATCGTCTCGTCGGCCATCGCCAACACGCCACCTCCCGACCTGATGGCGGACATACTGAACAAGCGTAACAAGATCCACCACTTCGACAAGGAGACCGACGAGGACATGATCCCCATCTTCGTCCACGGCGTCGACGGCAAGCCGCGCAACAACAAGCACCTCCTGCCCCACCGCAACTGGTGCTCCATCCGCGAGTACACGCCCGGGCTGACGCCTCCGCCCACCCCGCCGCCCGAAGACTACGAGATCACCCCGGACGGCACCCCTCCGGGCAGCCGCCGGGGCGGGCTCCTCCGCCGGTTCTCGCTCTCCTCCTCCAAGAACAGAGGCCCCGCGGTCCGCCCCGACACATCGCGCGACGCGCCCGCGGACCGCTCGCGCCCGCCCCTCTCCAGCAGCGGCGGCCTGTTCCGCTCGTTCTCGCGCCGCGCCTCGTCCGACGGCGGCGGCGCCCGCCCGAACAAGCTCCTGCGGACCCTCTCGCTCGGCCGCGGCGACCCCTCGTCCGCGCCGTCCGCGCGCCCGCGCGGCAGCAGCTTCGGGTTCGGGTTCGGCCGCCGCCGCAGCAACGACGGCGGCATCAACGGCGACTGGGGCCCGGACAGCGAGGAGGAGGAGGATGCGCAATACGACGACGCGCCACCGCCACCGCCGGCGCAGCAATCGAGACAACAACAACAACAGCAGCAGCGGCCCGCCGTCTACGCGCCGACCATGCCTCCCCCGGACTACGGCCGAGGCGGCGGCGGCGGTAACGGTGGTAACGGTGGTAACGCGATGCACCTGCGCGGCGGCGGGGGCAACGACGAGTACTCGGCGGGCGACGACTCGTTCTTCACGGCGCGGCCGCCGCGGCGCGCGTTCACGCAGCCGGAAACGTCGGCGGCGGCGCGCAATAACGAGTACGATGCGTACTACAGCAGCGCGGGCGACGATGATACGAATGACCGACGACCGCCACCCACGCGCCCGTTCCACCGCACGCCCACGGGGCTTAGCGCTAAGCTGCGGAAGAAGGGCGGGTACGATATCGACCTCGAGGGCGGGCTCGACGTGTGTCTGAATGTCGAGGTTAATGCCAAGGATCCCGCGGGCATTACTATGCCGTATAGGCTGCTGGTGCCCAGGCTTTGGTACGAGTATTCTGGGGAGGATGCTGGTAGGGCTGTGTCAGATGATGCTGGTGAGGGTGAGGGTGTCAGGGGTGGGGCGGATGTGGATGAACCGCCGGAGTACGAGTACGGGCATGAGCAGGAGTATGAAAGGGAAGGAGAAGAGGATTACGACGACGAATATGAACACGACGCCGGCCCGGTCGTGCACGAGGATATGGCCGAGAAGCCTGGTCTCCTGAAGCGCTTGTTTAGCGGACGGAGACGGAGAGATGACAGGGGCCAAGGCAGAGGCGACGGCGGAGGTGGCAGCCAGTATAGGGCCCGGAGACAGTCGCCCTAGTCGGAAGATATGGGGGAGGGAGATCATACGGGAGCAGAGGGAGCGAAGACACCAAGATCCAGGGGCAAGTTGTAACACACTTGTAGGAATTATGGGGATCCAAGGCGGCTTTTTTTCACACCATTCTCGATGTTTTTTGGCGGCGATACCTCGGGGAAAAGTTTGGTCTCTTTTTGCTTCATACGGCTTGACAACAGTTATAGCGGAGACTTATTTTGCTACTTTCTTGGAGGACTGGCTTGGCTAGGAGATACACACATAGAAGGAAGGGCTTGGGTTCGTTTTTGCTAGCGGGCGTGGCGGCCTGGCTGGACTGGGCTGGACGCTTTTGGGTCTGACTTGGAGCAGTGCAGAATGTTAATATCGATGAGGCTACGATGTTTGGATACTGCATAGGTGTGTTAAGGGTTTTGTTGGATGTTGGATAGTCTGATGCTCACACAGTTCTACATGCTGTGCTTTGAATAAAGATCTGCCAAGACTACAAATATTACTGCTAATAAGTACTGCTAACAAGATGTGATACCTCCTTACTCGTCTATGCCAGGGCTATGAATATTGTGTCTGCTTTGCTATTTAAAATGTGCGAATCGTCTCAAGTACCTTCTAGAAGAGCCCCAACAGCGTGTAATTTAGCCAAGTTTTCGATTTTAGTGGCGTCTCTGGTGCTTTTGATTTGCAAATCCAGCGCCTTAGCACATTTCTTAATAGGTTCATCGAGTGATGGGTAGATGGGAAGTGGACCAGACCTTTGGGTAGGTGCGTTTAGGAAGCTTGTGGCAAGCAGGACACGAGCAGGCAGGAAGAAGCAGGCAATTAGGATCAAGGAGTGAGAATGTGGGAGTATGCCTGGTAAATAATAATAATAGGGAAGGAGGGAAAACAGTACAGACGGAAAATACCACGTTTCTGAAAAGAAAAAAGAAAAGAAAAAAAAGGAATGGTTAGGCTAGGCCCCGAGATGATACCTGGTGCTCGCGGGCGGACGCTCTGGTAAACCATGCAACGCTCGCTACCGCTTGACCATTACACCTTTTAATGGGTCCTAGTGACAGTTGCTACTAGTAAATTTACTTATAACCTTCCATACTGTCGGTTGCCAGGTGGCCAGTTGTTGACTGCCTTCTCATATTGCCGGGTTACCCAGGAGCCCTCGAGAGCACCTTACCTAAAGGCGCCTACACACTGACTAGACACCTGTAGTCATTGCTAAGGAGACCTTCAGAGCACCATCATACGCAGTGCTGCTGCTTAATGGTTTTCATACTTGCAACTTGCCGCACAACCTGAGACCTTAAAGACATTGCCAGTACGGCAGTACGAATATCGTCCTTACGTTACAGTAAAATGACAGGTACGCTTCCTCCTTATGCCTCTACCAACCCCTTTCGAAGCAGCAGCGAGTCTCTATCTTCCTAGCATAGGCAGGTATCCGTTTCTCTTCAACAATTTAACAAACTGTTGTAATTCTTTATGATATCTCCAAAGACAGTACCTAGGTTACTATGAACTAAGGATAAGGCTAAAAAGCTAACCATATCGTAAATCTGCATTAATATGAAATACCAACAATCCCTATTATTATCATAATCTCTCAATCTGACAGAAGATTGTTCGTTCTCCCCAGCATTACGGGGGTTTTTATTACGACCTAGAGAGTTATAAACATATCTGCCTGCCACCAAACCCCGGGTATATACATGGAGCGAGGACAAAGAGGCCTATCACCTGTCATCTCTTTCTCCTACTAGCCAATGGACACATGGTCATACGCAGAGACCCACTCGTGTTCTTGACCCCTTTCCTGAAAGGTCTATCCTCTGAGAGAAGCCACAGTCCCACCAGAGGGGGTATATAAACCGTGACTAGACTTTGATCTTTCACATACGACCATAGGATCTGGAGAACTCGGGATCCCGTCCGCTCTCCCCTTTGATAAACCAGATACCGCCAGATCAGTAGTTGGGTCGGTGACGACCAGCGAATCCCTGGTGTTGTATGTTTTGTTCTTTTTGTGAAGTATTTCATCCCGCCGTTCTTTTATTAATGTTCCCTATTAGTGAACGAGGGAAAAAAAAAACTACATGGGCGAGGTCAAGTCCAAAAAGTTAAAGTAATTTTCCCTCGGACCGGAATCGAACCGGTGACTTTTCGGTAACAATGTAACAATTTCATACAATTACAGCCGAACGCCATAACCAACTAGACTACCAAGGGTCTTGCGCTTGGGGGGCATAGTGTTGTGTTGAGGTAGACAAGCTATTTTGAGTTACGTTCACGCACATCTACGTGCCCAGAGTGAGCGTACAGCCCTTGTTCAGTCCCGAGTTGATGGGGATTCATATTGACCATTCAAGTAATGCGCCTCAAAATCTATCATATAAATCACGTAGCACGTTATCGTCGCATGTACTGGTCTTAGCAGCTGTACACTGGCATCATTGAAGTAAAAAGGGGGGATGTAGGTATCTACGCGTCTCCCATGTCACTTAAAGTAGTAAAATCATCTTCTATTTTATCTGGCCAGCGCTTTTCTTGAAGACAAAGCAAACATAACACGTAACCGTAAGGATATGCATGAGGCTTGATATTAAGCAAATCATTAGAGCCTATTTTCTACCCGAGATCAAAATTTCGAACTCTAGATAGGTAGTTTCCGTCTTAACACGGGCATAATATAGCCTAGCTGGTATATCAATGAGTCTAAGATAGAAATACTCCTGACATGCATGACGTGGATGCTTTCCCTAAGTCTCGGATTACTTGTTCTGTCTTGTGGAATCGAACTTGTAACCATATCAAGCCATCGAAGATCAACTTGATATTATTTCGATACTTCTTCGACCCAATTGAATTGTCCGTACAAGTTGAAGGTGAGTGATTGTCTCACCAACACGTGTCAATCAGCCTTATTACTGCCGCTTTCGGTTCTAGATTCCAAGGAACTTTTCTAGAACTGCGGTAGAACTCGAGTCAGCCAACTTACATCTAAGCACGTGTCCATTAAAGCATTAATGTGAATTAGCTAGGATTTTCGTAGGATTCTGACAGCCATAATTCGTTGGCCCCCAAGGCGACACAAGCTGAATACCAATAGGTGAATGTTTAATACAAACGTAGCAGCTCTTAGTGGGCTGACATTTGGATATGTGGTTGAATGGCTCACGTGTTTCATTAGCCGATGCGCCGGCCTGCCCCCTTCCCAAATGAAACCTCTGCCGCTACTAAACCGCCTCGTCTATATTCCTCCGTATGCGTAAGCAATAACCTAGTAGAGCTGAAAAAGGGCTGATTAGATAGGCAAATCGCTAACACGGTTTCGGACTGATTCGACGCGAATCCTGAAGGGGTTTTCATAATGAACCAGTGCCGTGTGTAACTCTAGAGATAGAAGTCCCACGTTAATCTAAGACAAATGAGCGACAGCAGTTGTGAAACGACAGCTGCAGATTGCATAGCGGCGGCATAAAAGCGACCCTATTCGGGATGCCCCAGGGGACCGGACCGAGCACACACCATCTGCGGTCCTGGGAAGATGCGAAGCGTGGCTGGGATCCGATGCGCCGTTACCGTGCATCGCGCACGTCAAGACCTAGGCTAACCGGGCGGGTTGGGTGTCCATCGACAGGTTTCCAGATTACATGCCATCACGGTATGTACGTACAACTCCCGGGTCCTCCGACGTAGCGAGGTTTCAACGGTATGGTCTTGTACGCCGAGTAAGAGCATGTATGGACACGGAATGACGTGCCTCGTAGCGAATTGGGAGACATGGACCGCTGCGAGCCAGTCAAGTCGGGCCGCCAATGCGTCTGTGGTGTTCCAGAACCGCGGGGTCCACGAATGGTTGAGCTACTGCCGCGGATGAGACCTCAACAGCCCCCCCTGAAACTATGTTAACATGGGGATTGAATACAGCTTCCCGTAATTTACAGGCACATACGGGTTGATAGTCTATCAGCTGGCGGCCTCACAATGACTTCGTCAATCGAAGCCGGGGCGACCGTATACGATTTACATGAAGCCGGCTTAGATGGTGGCCGTAGTCTGCCCTTGATAAGTTCTCGATGCGCTTGGCGTGGCTCTCGCTGTTGCTGCTGCTCGGAAGACATCGAGATCTGACACTTTCAAGGTCATTCGAATGTGCAAAGATACAGGTCGGTCGGTACTTGATCCGTCCGCTTGACACTTGTTATGATGCAATATTTAAGTGATAAGCTTAAAAGGTCGGTTTCCTATAAGATCACGTTCAAAGGTTAGGTAGGAGGAGAGCCGCCTATACCTCGGCTGGGCACAGACCAGGAGTTTGACGCCCAGACGCCATGTCACTTGTGGAGAGCTTCCGTGGCTTGCCCATTTCGGGGGTGGTGGGTGGTGGGAAATGCAGGTGCTAAACCTCCTTTTGGTTAAGCCGACGCCACCGAGAAAGGTCACAAAGACCACGTCGGATTTGCTTTTTCTCGGTCCCTACGGAATCAATTGCAAGGTCATCAGCTCGTAGCAATTTTATAGAAGAGAGAAGTGATATTCTTCGAGTCAATTGGAAAAGTTGTAAATATCTTGCGAGGTGAACTTAATATTGTCCTTTAGCTCTTCAGGGATTCTAATTCGAAGAACAAATTGGGGTAAGGGCACCTGATCAAATCGACCGGGATTACCTTCCCGAAAAGGTATCCCGTTAGCCAAGAATGGCAAAGCGTGACCTCGTTACCCCTCATTTTGATTCGCAAGTGCGAGGCGGCTTAAGTAGTTGGACCTCTGAGATCAAGGGAGACGCACAACAGTGCAGACGGGCTGCAGACGGGCTGCACACAACCACACAACACACACAGCGAACAACTCATTCTTTATTAACGAGCCCGATGCCGATGGACAGCTGGGCAATTGCTTAAGTGACTTGGCTTGTCTGATTTGCTCGTCGAGGAAGTGGAATACTACTACGTGTCTTAGGTAAGCTAGGTACATGACCCTACGTGCATTCCCGTTCTTACGAGCTTTGAAATTGAATCCAATCCCTTTGGTCAATTGATGAACTTCTAGCTAGCATTCTAGCAACTAAGTTTTATAGGGTGGTGGGGGACTGATGACTCTTACCGCTGTCCGAAAAAGTCTTAACTTCTAACCCTCAATTCTTCAGCAAAGGAAGGGTTCTTCGGTTTCTCTTATTAGAAAGAAAGACTTTTTTTTATTAAAAAGATAAGATCCACTTACCACGCGTTGGGCTTGCTCAAATTGCCCCCGACACACACCCCGCGTTAGCGTTAGCGGCAAAAGAAAAAAAAAAACAAATTTTCCTGTGAAGAGCCGCCTCTTCCCACCCCCCAAATTCTTGCTCATATCCTCTTATCGCTTATTAGTCCAGACCCCTCCAATTGCTCAATTCCGTGATCGGTCTCGGATTTCGACTGAGCAAAACAGCCTCAGCCTCGGCCGGTATAACGGCGCGGAGCCATACGGAGCAAGAAATTGCCTCAAACCAACCGCCTGTCACATCTTGTCACCCTAATTCCGTCCTATATTATTCGTCAATTGAGTCGTGTGTGTGTTGTGTGTGTGGTGTGCATGGATGGTCACACAGTTGTCGGCGCCGTTTCGGCCCCGTCTACGAGCCCTACCAGCCCTATAAGCCTCCATCGCCATGGTTCCATGAAGCGAAAGCGCAGCGAAGGCGGCATTGGGGTTGATAGTAGTCCAGGAAGCGCTATCGGCGATGATGACCACTCTCTGGCCGAGCCCGAAAAGAAGAGGCAACCTGGCGTCAAACGGTACGTTTATGACTAATAATCCTATTTCCCTATGCCATGTCGTAAGAACAATAAAACATTCATGTCTCTATCGTATAACATATACATCTAGCTAACGTCACTCCGGCACAGGGCGTGTAACGAATGCAGGCAGCAGAAGCTCAGGTGCGATGTTGTTCAAGAGCCGTTTCAGAGTTGCTCGAGGTGTAATCGTCTAAAGCTCGAATGCAAGATCGAGTCCAACTTTAAACGGATCGGCAAGAGGTCCAAGCACGCCGAGATGGAAAAGGAGATCGATCGTCTGAGGCGAAAGATCGCCCAGGCCAAGGCGCAGGGTTTTGTGATAGAAGACGATGAAGAGCTGCAATCTCAATTGCAATCCCCCGTCGCAAATAGTGCGTACTCGCATACCCGAAATCCTTCGCTCATGGGGTCCGATGAGGCTGTCACCTCCCTTCTGACTCTGAAGCGGGGAGGTTCGTATAGCTTGGCCGCAACCCATTATGCCTACGAGCTTGAGACAGTGCGGCTGACCGAGCAGGACGTCCACGGTCTATTCCAGGAATTCTTCACCTGTTATCACCCTTTCCTCCCCTTCTTAATCGAACACCAGTCCCCCGATCTTTACTATCAGCAACATGCTCTGCTTTTCTGGACCATCATTGCCATCGCCTCTCGGCGTTATCATACTAAACCTAGTATCCTGCACGAGCTATCAAGCGGACCCCTGAACAGATTGCTCTGGGGTACTGTAGGTGACGTACCGAACAGCTACTTTGTCGTCAAGGCCCTCTGCTTGTTATGTACGTGGCCGCTACCCACGAGCACCACGACGGCCGATCCTACCCACATACTCTGCGGCGTCATGATGAAAGCCGCCACAGGCATCGGCCTGCATCGACCGAACCACACGCAAGACTTCTCCCGAGTTTCTGTCGAGCTAAACAAGGACCAGCTTCATGACCGAGTGACGACTTGGGCCGTGTGCAACATAGTTGCCCAGTCAATAGGAACTGGATACGGCCAGCCCGCGACCACGCTCTATGACTGGACGTTAGGCATCCGCCCTGGTGAAGACGGCCCCTTCACGTTATCACCCGAACTTGAGGCCCGATTAAGGATAGAGAGATTCTGTGACAAAGTTTCGAAAGAAATGTATAGTAATGCGAGTGATCCTCGGGGCGTGGCTGGTGACGAGCATAGGGCGATGCTGATGCGGGTGTATCGTCGCGACTTTCAAGAATTGCATGCGTCGATTCTTTCTCAGAACCTGTCGCCGATTGTGGAGATACACTTGGCAGCCGCCAATGTGCACCTCCGTCTTGCCGGATTCTTTGACTCGAGCAGCACTCCAGGATATATGGACGACTTAATGGGCTTGTGGCGCGCCATCATAAGCTTCCTCGACATTCTATTCGTGGAATCCAACCAGCAAATTCTTCTATACGCCACTAATTATATCCAGCAGATGCT